ATCATGACATCAATCTACAGTCTACCTCAGTGGCACATGAATTAAAAGGTTCTGTTCCTTGTGAAAAGAAAGTTAAGTATTAATATGAGGAAGTCTTAAGAGATTAGTATTAATGATCTACCCATTCTTGAGCCCTTCAAAATCATGTGATTTGGTTTTTTGTGCATGTTATAAAGAACTGTACATATTCTCTCAATTAGAGAAAGAATAAGGTCACTATTATCATTCTTTATCTTCCATTAAAAAACCTGAGATTCATTAATTGAGTTTCTTTTTAAATGTCCAGCATATACTTAGACAGTAGCAAAACCATACCTGTAAAGGTATGAGTGTTTCCGAGCCATTAGTTGTACCATTTACTGTGGCTATTCACTTTTCTGTTAAAACATTAATGAGGCTGATTGCCAGACTTTCCCAAGACTTTCCTAGTCTGTCTAGTGGTGTCAAATAATTAAAATGCTGTGCTTTCCACAGCACATCTGGTGCCAGGCTTCTCAGGTGAGGGTGGGTGGACTTATATTAACAAACACGGTAACAGCCCAAGTCACACACACTGTGAGTATTGATGTAGAGGCCACACTGAAAAAGTCTCAGGTCTCAGTACTGAGGACAACTTGTTAAGCACCTTCAAATGTAAAGTGTAGGCAAGCAAACCACCTCAGGGCCTCATTTCTGATGGAAATTTAAACAGCCAAGGCATTAGGTATTTAGATGTGAAAAAAGGAACTGATACCTCAGAATGTCCTGGATTACAGGAAACAGATGATGCGGACTTCTCAGGTGGTGCAAATGGTTAATACACTTGACTGATAGCCAAAAGGTTGGAGGTCTGAATACCTCCAAAGAAAGGCCTGGCAATCTGCTTCAGACATATCAGCTATTGAACCAGTGGAACACAGTTCTGCTCTCTCGCACATATGATAAGCATAGAAGGAGTAGAAACACAATGGGGACCGGTTTTTTGTTGTTGCTGACAGAAGAACATAACATTCCTTGGGCAGGTTAACAAAAGCAGCAACCCTTTGCTGGTGCAACAGTGGCACCAGTTTTGAGTGGAAAGTGAATTAAAAGAGAGAGTGAGTGTGTGACAGAACTGGGATGGAAAAACAACCATTTCTTAGTTCCAGGATTAGATCCATCATCCATGTCTTACTTGATAAATGAGCGCCCCTTCTCATTTGAGGGTAGAAGTGAAGAGTGGGCATGAGACGCGAAGTAATCTTATACAAATATTCAGTAGGCAAATGACAATTATGAAGAAAGCCATTCTAAATGCCAAATCTCACTCCCCTCCATGTGCTTGGTCTTTTCTTTGTGAGAAGGTTTTCTGCCAAGAAGCCTGTATGACGCCATCTATAATGGAAGTCCTTTCTAATCCCTATGGACAAATCACAGTCCTGCCCAGCCTGTGTACTTGTGTAAAATGCAAAATCAGGGCATCGTCCCTTAGCCCCCTAGCAAGTAACAGGCACAATGATTCTCTGTCATCATTCTGTTATTCCACTGATTGAAAACAGTGTGGTTGCCCACAGGCAGTCCATGCTGTCTAGTAGCAGAGCTGTGTGTCCCCTCATCAGAGACTTGTCTTAGGCTGAGCTGTGCAACCTGATCCCTGCACACTTCACATGTCAAGGGCCTGCTCCCTCCTCTCAAGTGCAACAATGTTGTTTTTGATCTGATGGTGGCTGGTTCTCACTTGACAACTAGAATATTCAATCCTTTTTAGAACTTTTCCATTCTGCAACCAAGGATCACCAGTATAATATGGTATAGAAACTGTTGCCATCAAGTTTGTACCAGTCGTGGGAACAACATATGCTACAAAGGAGAATTGATCTATAAAGTTTTCTTGGCTGAAATCATATTGAAGCAGATCACAAGGTCTTCCTCCTGTAATGCCATTGGGTGGACTTGAATGGACAACCTTAATGTTAGTATTGAAGCAAAAACAATTTGTACCACCCAAGAAACTTGGTGGTGTATAATGATATATAATAATACCTGCCATTTACTCAATGCCTATAAATTTTATGCAAAGAGCTACCTACTTCATCTTCACAGTAACTACAGGAAGCAGGTATTATTATTTCTATGTCACAGAAAATTAAGGTAAGAAAAGAGACCAGAGAGAGATGTGTGTCCCTGTGTGTCAGCCTATGGACACAGCTCAAGGATACTACCCTGCAAAAAAAGAACCAAACACATTGCTAGACTTGATTCTGACATAAACTGTCCCTTTAGAACAGAGCAGAACTTCCTAACAGGGTTCTTTAAACTTTATGGAAACAATTTGTCAGATCTTTCTCCCACAGTACAGTTGATAAGTTTGAACCACTGACCCTTTGGTTAGCAGTCAAGCATATAACTGCTGTATAATCAAAGGTCCTTACAAAGAATCTAGCCTTTTCAAATGTTGGCAGAACAGTAATTGCTTGGAAGAAAGAGGATAAGAATCATCACCTTGCCCTTGACTTTCAGTACACTCACTGCTACATTGTTGTAGCAGTGCAACCATAGAGTCACAAGTAGTGGGTTTTCAGAGGCAGTTAATTGCATAGGAATTTCATTAAACTGATATGACTTGTTGGTAAAGGACGCACTATTTAACCTAAGTCTATTTGACTTGAAAGTCTAAGTTCAAATTAGATATTGAGCAACGGATTCATGTTGTTGTTGACAGTTGCCTCTATGTGGATCCAAACTCACTCATGATGCCAGGGAGAAACTAATCCATGGGATTTTCAAGGTTGGGAGCCTTCGGATGCCTCTAGGTTAACCCAAACCAATAACCTTTCGGCTAGGAGCTGAATGCTTGACTCTTAGTGCCACTCAGAACTCCACTTGGACTCTATAGGTCCAGGTACAAATAATCCCAATTACTTTTGGAGTTAATTGGGATACAAATCCCAAGTAGGACATAGATAGTTCAAGTGTTGATTTTGACCCTAATTGTCTAACAGTTGTTTTTATTGCTGTGTATCGTGAAATTGTAGCTGAACCTGCAGTGGGTTTTCAGAAGCACTGAATCACATGGGAAGAGATTGCCCATATTTCTTCCCTGGAGGATTCAAACCATGTACTGCTAAGCCAATGACCTTTGAACTTCAACAACTTTTGGAGAATGAAGATTTTTAACCAGATCTTCCATGGAGTAATTGTTAATAATTAAGCTGGGCCCATTACCTTGTTTTGTCTTGTTTAGAAAGCAGCAATGATTGGTAAAGTCAGCGCTTGAGGCCAGGCTGTGACTGTGCCTTCAGACCTCAGCACGCCCCACCTACTTAGTGATACCTTCATTCTTTTCCTCCCATCAAACTGGTGGGGGCCAGCCCAGCCCAAGTCAGCAGGATATTGCCTTCTGGTGCTAGACAATTGGCAGTAGCTCTCAGTACATAAACTAAAAAACAATGGTCTGAATTGATTTCTGCTAACGTCACTCAGAACAACCCAGTCTGCTCAAAGTGACACTAAAAGCCACACCCAAGTGATCAGTTAGCAGCTCCATCTGCTGTGCAGTGATGTCAGCTTGTAGTGAGAGAGGCCCTCCAGCCTTTTTTAAGAACTGGCGTATTCCCCAGAAGACAAGTGAGTTGGACTAATCCTAATCCTATGAGCTTGAAGTGTTAGTACTGCTAGTCCATGTGCTTTCTGTGTGCCAAGGAACCAGAAACCTCAAGAGAAGAGGATTAGTTGTATCATTCTAATCATATTCATTCCTCTTCAACAATCCTTGCCATGGTAGGGCATGAATAAGAAATTATCTGAAAGAAACTCAAGAAGCAGAATTTAAAATTTCCTGTAAACTCCAGTCAACTACATTTCTAATTCAGGTCTGACATATGTCCATTCCGGATTTTCATTCCCGGACAAGTGTAACAACTAATAGCTTTGAAAAGTTCAGAGGATGTGTCATCTAGGAATGATGCTTTAGATTAGGAATCTCTAGGGAGAAATTAATGAAGCTCCGCTCTAGAGCTAGATTTCCTGCTACCACATCTCAGTCACCACTGTAAACTGGATAGGAAGTTACTGTTGTTCTTATTGTTGTTGTTGTTGTTGTTGTTGTTGTATGCCATTTAGTCAGACCCGACCCATAGCTGACCTCCCAGAAGGTTTTCGAGGCAGTTAATTGCATGGAAGGAGATTGCCCATCCTTCTCCTGGCAAATAGTTGGTAGATTTGAACCATATACCTTTGGGATTGCAGAGCAATCCACTAGGCCACCAGAACTCACTGGAAAGGAGGTAGCCTCATTATTTCATGGTAATAGGAGACTGACTACCAGAAGCTTCATTCAATTTGAACTAAAATATATATTTTTTTTGTTTTTTTAAGGGCTTGAGTATCTAATGGGAATCGAGAGAACAGATTTGAATCCGAGGTTGGCTATTTAACAGAATTAATTAATTTTACTTTCTAAACCTCAGTATTTTCATCTGTGAAACAGACATAGCTCACTTTGCAGAACTCAGGAGAGATGAATTCAGCCAAGGTCTAATATAAATATTCTGTAACTCAATTAACTCACTGTAATTCAGATTTAGTAAGTGTTCATTCTAAAACTCTGAAACTGCCCTTAGACAGAAAGAAAATATTCAACATTTGATAAACACCTATGACCAAAAGAAGAATAATCTGTGGGGAGCTGCTAAGAGAGAGTCTAGTTTGTCTGAAATTGCAATGTTAGTACTTCCAACCATGAAGTAAGAGATCTGGTGACACAGTGATTGAAGCTCTTAACTGCTAGCCAAAAAAACAATAGGCAGTTTAATCTACCATTTCTGTGGAAGAAAGATATACTGGGGGGGGGGGGGAATAAAAAAAGATAAAAAGGACTGTGGCCATGGAAACCCACAGGGGTTCGGAATAGCTAAGTATCAGCAACTGACTTGAAAAACAAAAACTCAATAAGAATATGTACTTAGTAAATGAATGGCTTCCTAATGGACTCTTTATACTTTGATAGAGCTGAAGGAGGATTCCACACACATCCTCTTTTGATGATGTCTACGGAGCAAATGCAGCCCCTGGAGCTCTCAGAAGACAGACTGGACAAATGCAGCCATTTAGGTAAATGTTTCAGTGTGAATGTCAGTGGTAGGTGTCAGAAAGGGAGCATCTTGGCCATTGGGTTTGCAGACAGGTCAGAGGGAGACCCTCTGAAACCTGATAGGCTACACCTTCTGCTGCCAGCCAGCACCAGATGGACAGGCAAACAGCCATGAGTCTGTGGGGTCTGCCATGTAAATATTAGCTGAAGCACTGGAGAGAAGTTGATTAGAGTTAAAAAGATCGAGAAGAGGCATTGTCCTCTTTTTTGGGGTCTGACTGCATCCCAGGCAGAGCATTTCTGAGGCAATAAACAGAATGTGGCAGTAGAGCTGGTTTCCAGGATTTCGCGCCACACTGACACCCTATGTGCACTGCCAATAAAATATTTCAAATATCTCTCTTTGCCTATCAAGACAGAATTTTAAATAGCCTTTTTCCGCTTTATTGTCAATCTGTTTCCTTTCCAGAACTGACTTTTTGCATAACCTTTGTAATGAAAATACCAGAAACATTTCTGCCTCTACCCATTTCTAAAAATGAGACACTCAGACTTTTGATGGATAGGCCTTTTGCATATTCATAGCCTTTGTTTATGCCTTGTCTGGTTATGACTTCTCCCCCCTCCCCACTCCCCATTTGCCATCAAGATATTTTATGTTCCAGGATTTCTCAAAAAAGAGTGGAAAGTGCAATTCAAGTAAAAGTCAAAATTGAGACAAAAATCTTGCTCTCTGAGTAGGATTTTCAGAATAAACAGTAACCTGTGTGGACCTTTATTAAGTCTGTAACTCTAGGCACCTCATTGCTGGGAAGCACCCTTCTAAGCATCATTCATTCATCTAGCAAATATCTGTGACCTATGAAATATATGGGTGACCTATGAAATATATGGTGGGGTCAACTGTACTATGCAGCACCAAAATCCTGCAACTATTTTTTCAGCCAAGTGTTAGATATACGATCCCTAGAGCCTGGGTTTTATGAAATCAATTGTCTACAGTGAAACATTCAGCCTCATATCTGGCCTCTTTTTTTTTATATTGTGATTTGAGTGAGGGTCTACAAAGCATGTTGAGGGTTTTTTATTTAATCATTCATATATATTTTGTTCTACCACATTAATTATAATACTCACAAAGTGATTACGCTTGTGCCACTTCCTCTCTATAGGTCTCATTTCCACTAATCCCTCTACCCCATTCCTTCTTCCTGTTACGGCTTTATCCTTAGGTATAGGCTTCTTGAGGTATCTGGCCTTCTCGAGGTTTCATTTTTCATCTGAAAATTAAGGATAATAGTCTATTTTCCATGTGAGTTTATTGTGAGATCTAAATGAGAAATGTGTTCCAGGATCATATTTAAAATGTTTAACAACTGTTAAAGCACAAGCAGTGACAAATGTGGGAAGATGCTGATTAATCCCACTTGCTGGAGCATGTATGACGTGTATGTGAAATCACCTAATGCACTGGTGATGATGCCCTGTGTAGACCACACCCCCTCCCCGTGTGTGTGTGTGTGTGTGTGTGTGTGTGTGTGTGTGTGTGTGTGTATAAACTTGGTACCGTGTAAGCCAATGCCACGTGGTAAAAGTCTCACCAAATGCTCACGCAATTGCAATTAATTAATTAAATAAAAACCTATGCAACTATAAACCTATAAAATTAAATTAAAATCCTATAAAAACTTGTTGTTTGGTGCCATCATGCTACAGTCACTGTGTCAATTCACCTGGTTGAGGGTTTTCCTCTCCTTCCTAATGTCCTAATGTCCTTCCACCCTAATGTCCTTCCCAAAGGAATAGCCTCTCCTAGCAATTAGCCCAAAGTATATGAGACAAAGCTTCACCATCCTTGCCTCTAAGGAGTACTCTGGCTTCACCTTCTCTAAGACATATCTGTTTGTTCTTTTGACAGTCCATGGGATATTAAGTGCACTCCTCTGACAACATAGCCTCAAAAGCATCAATTTTTTCTTCTGTCATCCTTATTCATTGTCAAGCTCTCAAACACACAGCAAGTGACTGAATAGACCATGTTCTGAATCAGGCACATGCTAGTCTTCAAACTGACATCATTGCTTCTCAGTAATTTGGAGAAGTCCCTGCCTGACTGCAGACTCTCCCAGTGCAACAGGTCTCATGGTCTTCTGAGTACTATATCGCTTGTGGATCCAAGTAAGATGAAATCATTGACGGTTTCAGTATTTTCTCCATGTATCACGATGTTATTCATCAGTTCATATTCCACTAGCATTTATTTATTTCTGCTAAGGAGATTGCCAAGAGAACAAGCAAATACATCTTGGAGAAAATATGACCAGGGTTCTTTTTAGAGGAAAGGATGGCAAAACTTCATCTCACATAAGATGTGTTGTTAGCAGGAGACAGTCCATGGGTGAAAAGACATCATTCTGGGAAAGGTAGAGAATGAGAGAAAGAAAGGAAGACGTTGAATGAACCAGATTGACACAGTGACCTTATTAATGGGCTTAAGTATGTCAGAGAGGAGGAAGATGGGTACAGGAACAGGATTCAGATATTTGCTCTTAGGGTTGCTATGAGTCATAGTGGACTTGAGAATATCTAACATTTTTAAAAACGAGACATAAAGGAAGATATATCATTACAAAAGGCAAAGAAAACATGTAAAGAAATAATAATTTTATCATCTTTTTAAGACACTTCTGGAGGAAAAGAATAACCCCACCTCAATAGATATTCAGAAAATAAGAATAAGAAATAAGAAGAAGCAGAAATACGAAGAAGACTTGACTGGCCATAATGAAGTAATAAAGGTGAATAAAAAATTCGCAAAGAACTTTAGTGAAACTCCCAAGAGCAAGGCAATCAAAAGTTTATGTAGTGATTCTGGGGTCTCCAAAGGGAAAGATCCTTAAATAAAGGAAATTAAGATGGAGTATTTTACACAAAGACCCTATTTTCACATAAAAAATTTAACTGAAACTCAAACTGCCTAACTATATTTCAATTTCTTTTCCTTAATTACTCAAACCATCTGAGTTAGCATAATTCTAGTTTTTCATTGCATTAGTCACAGTCTGTCTTGGCCTAGTTCTGATGACTAATAGTGAGTTTCTCCAACAATTCCTTCCACAGATGTTGTCAATCTGATAACCTGATTTTTAACCTGATTCTTTTTTTTTCTGTAAAGTAACCGTTTGTGTTTTTAAAGAAGATATTTGCAATGAATAAACCATTGAACATACAAAATTCAATCATTCTGTTTCCAATCTCATTTCTGTCACCAAGTCTATACTTTCCAACTACCATTCCATCTTCATTTTTTCCAACTTTTGCATTCCAGTCACCAATTATCATGAATGCATCTGTGGAACAGACCTTCAATTACTTAAGTGCGATTTCAAATTGAGGCCAAATAAAGTGAAAACAAGTCCATTAAAACTAAAATATGATCTTGAGTCTACTCCACCTGAATTTCAAATGCATCTTAAGAATAGGTTTGAAGCATTGAACATCAATGATCAAAGACCAGATGAATTGTGGTATAACATCAACGAAAAGAACAAAAGGTCACTATAAAGACAGATGAGAAAGAAAAAAAACAGAAATGGATAAGAGACTGAAAATTGCACTAGATTGGAAGACACTAAAAAAAAAATAAAAGAGAGATATAATAATAAATATTCATTAATAATTGGAACATGGATTACATCATGTATGAAGCTAGTAAAATTGCAAGTTGTTAAAATGTTATGGAACATAAAAAGATCAACTCCTAAGCATTAATGAGATGAGATGGACTGGTATTGACCACTTTGAATCTAATTATCACATGATCTAGAATGCCAAGAATGACAAATTGAAGAAGAAAGGTGTTGCATTCATAGTCAAAAAGAACACTTCAAGATATATCCTAAAGTACAATGTTGAGTGAATATTATTATCCTATTATCCATATTCATTCAAGAAAGGCTTATTCATGCAGCTTGTTCACCAGCTGCTCCATGGGAGAAGGATTGGTTAACTGCCTCTGAAAACCCGCTTGAGAGTCAGCTGTGGATCGGTAAAACCAGGGGCTTACTGTGCAACAGACCATCAATTACTTATCTGCAAGTTCAAACTGAAGTTGAAAGTTGGACAATGAATAAAGATTACAAAGGAATCACTGCCTTTGAACTATGGTGTTGGAGAAGAGTCTTGAGTATCTTACAGACTGCCAAAAGAACAAACAAGTCTGAGTTGGAGGAAGTGCAGAGGCAAGGGAGATGAAACTTGGTCTCACATTTTGGGTATGTTATTAGGAGGGGCTGGTACTTGGAAAAAGACATCACCAGGAAAAGTAGAGGATCAAAGAAAGAGAGGAAGACCCTTAATAAGATGTATTTACTCAATGACTATAACAGTGAACTGAAGACATTGAGAACGAGGTAGGATAAGTTTCAGATCTATTAATAAGATTGCTCTGAGTTGCAATTGATTAGACAGCACTTAAGACCACCACCAACAACAAAAGGGTCATTATGAATTAGAATTGATTCAATAGTAAATGAGTTTGTGTTTTGAAATCCAGTATAATTTCTAAGTAGAAGTCAATAACTGACCTCTATCATCAGGTAAATTTAGAAATCAAGTGATTTGTGATTTGATTAATATTCATATTGACTTTTTTTTTTTATTCTGTCAAAAACAGATGATCTTTCAGACCAGTTCATTAAAGACTGTGATCTCAAAAAGAAGCCAAGGAAGGGGAAAACTGTCCAGACAAATCTGAATGTTGAGTCTGATCAAAAAAAGCCGAAAAGAAAAGATACACCTGCCCTGCATATTCCTCCTTTCATACCAGGTAATGGACTTTCAGGTCAGTTTGCACATCTACAAAAGTGAAGGAAAACCCACAAAAACAAACAAATCAATGATGCAAGAGTGCATTGGTCACAGTTTCTCTCTCAAATATTTTGTTATTTGTTTAATAACTGGGCACTTAAAACTTGGTATTAGTTGCATACAGCTGCTATAACAGAGACATTCTAAAATTTTGGTGGCTTAACACAGGAAGACATGTTTCACTCACCAATAGTGACAGACGGGGCAAGGAGAGACAGACACTGCTCGAAACTCCCTCAAGAACCCAGGCTGATGGAGGTCTTTGCATCATTAGTGAATGGGTTTCAACAGGACCCTGAGTATCAATATCCAGCAGGTATGAGGTAGACTAGAATCAAGAGGTTATCTTGGCCAATTCTGAGGTGACACATGACAAGATTCCCAGTGCCTGAAAGGTAAGCTCTTTATGGACCCAGAAGAAAGGAAAACAATATAGTGAAAAAAGAATATATCTCTATTAACCTGAGATGTAACAATCTTTAGTGCCCAAGTTTGACTCTGCTTTATTTTCTTCTCTGTCTTCCTTCCTGATGTTTTATTTAAAGCTCTCTCTTCTACATCCTCACTCACTGCTGTCAAGTTGATCCAAACTCAGAGCAATCCTCTAAAGGATTTCAGAAGCTGTAAATAAATGCTAAAGAGAGAAAGATTGTCCATCTTTCTCCTACAGAGACGCTCTTGGATTCCAATCACCCAAGGAGTGTGGCCTTCAGGGCAGCTATGGACTTTGTCACCAAAGCTCCCTGTTGTTATTGTTGTTGTTTGCCATTGAGTTGAAACCAACTCTAAGTTGATCCTCTAGGGTTTTCAGAGGCAGTAAATCACATAGAAAGAGATTGCCCATCTTTTTCCCATAGAATAACTAATGGATTTGAACCACATGCGTTTGGAATTGCAGCACAACTTCTTAAAACTAGGCCACAATGGGAAGGATCTTTTGTGGAAAAACAAGGTATTCAAACTTTGTAAATGAACCAGTATAACATTTTTAAAAGATAGATTAATTACATACCTTCCTATGACAGCTTTCAATTCTCTAGGAAGCAAGCGAACAAACAAAAAACCAGTTGTGATTAAGTCGACTTAACTCCAATTCTGGCAATGTCCATGAGGTGAGAGTAGAACTGTGCTCCTTTTGATGTTTAAGGACTGATCTTTAGGAAGTTAATTTCCAGGCATTTCTTCCAAGATGCACCTGGATGGGCACACAGCCCTCCGCTTTGGTTAACAATTAAGCACATTAACCATCTATACTACCCAACCCAACCCAACCCAACTCAAATCTATTGTAATCAAGTCAATTAAAATGTATGATGACTCTGCATTGGCTTTGTGAAGCTGTAAATCTTTATGGCAGGAGGCTGGTCTACCTTCTACCCACAGAATAACTGGTGGATAGGAATCACAGTCTAATACACTACATCCCAGGGCTCTCAGGCACCTCTTAAAAAAAACAAACAAACAAACAAACAAAAACAGAAGCACATAAATACCTGAAACACAATTTAAAGAAAAAAAAACAAAAAAAAAAAAACCATTCTGGAAACCCTGAAGTAAGGCTTTAAAGGAGTTCTATTGAATCAGGATGGAACTCTGAGGACATAGTCTGTAGCAAGACGCTCTCCTAATCTAAAGGTTGCTCATCTTTGATGGCTCAAATCCACCGGTGTTCCCTTGAGGAAAAGATGAGCAGGCTTTGCTCAACGCAATTTACAGTGTTGAAAACCTACTGGAGGGTTATCATGATGGAGGGTCACAATGAGTCAGTTCTGAGTCCATGGAAGTGAGTTGAAGTTTAGTTTGATCTGAACAGTAAACTTTGCAAAATTTTGTAGAGAAGCTTTTTCTAAATTGATTTCTTAAGTTGGGGTAAAAGCTTCATGTGCAGAACAGAGGCAGGAGGACTCCTGAGTGAAGGTGGGGCCAACCAGGACATCAGGGTAGAGGCAGAGAACACACAGATGGCAGGACCTCAAATGGTCTGGTCTTACTGAAGATAAAAGACTCTGAAGAAAGGCAAACCTGGGTCCAATTCCTGTCTTTAAAGCTGTGAGCTGTATTATGTTGGGCACACTTCCTAACCTCATGCAGTCTCATTTCTCTCCAGTATGAGATGGTAGTAGCAATATTAAATTCCTCAGAGCTTGGTAAAATGGAAATGAAGCAATGTGTGTAAAAAACCTTTTGCAAAGGGCATATTCTACAGTGTGGGCTCAATACATGCAATTCTCTTTATGTTAAAAAAAAAACCCAACAAACTACCTTATTAAATCTGGAAAGCTCTATTATATGGACTTCTTCCCCGATAACACTTCTCTAGCTTCTTGTATATGCCCCTTGTTCACGTGTTAGGAATCATGTTGCTGACCTGGTCTCTACCCTCTGTTCCCCTAATCATGCAGGTGTGTTTTCAGAGCATTTAATTAGAAGATACGATGTCCAAGAGAGACAACCAAAGAACAAAATGAGCCCGGCTCTTCATAACACTGACCTGGAACAGAAAAAGCCAAGGAGAAAAGACACACCTGCCTTTCATGTGCCCCCCTTTGCAGCAGGTAAAAGAGCTGGTGCAGGGCATTTGCAGGGGGCGATGAGAACAGGTGGAGAGCCCAACCATCTGGATGTACCTCGGGAATGACCTTTGTCCTGGCCCAGCAAGCTGTGTCCCTCTAACTGGCTCTAGGGAGGAGCCACATTTGCTGCTGCTTTTCTGGTTTCTTGTCACTGGCAGCTCCCCCAGGGGCTGGCCTGGACATGACACAGGGAGGGGAGGGTGAGCTTACTCATGCTTCAGTGGAACTGCTCAAATTCACTGAGCTCATGAGGCTGAAATGTCAGTGGGTCCCTGAGAAGAGTAAACTCCACCCTTCAAGCCTAATCCACCATCCTGTGGTTGATAGCTTATTCTCCCAAATAATCGAGAGTAATTAAGGAGAAGAGAGAGAGAAATATTGGTACTATCTGAATATATATAAGATTGGCAAGGGATAGAGTAGGGTTTAGAGCTGCTGTACATAGGGTCGCTATGAGTCGCAGGTGACTCGACAGCCCATAACAACAACAACAATATCTGAATATATGTTGAAAATATATAGTTGATAATGTTACTGAACTAAGTGAACAAAGCCAGGTTGTAAGGACACCAGTGTGTGGGGTGTAGTGCTTGTCCTGGATGGGAGAATAAGATATATGCATTTATTATGAAAGAGAGAGAGAGAGAGAGAGAGAGAACATGGACATATATAGAAGCTGTGCTGCAAAAGGCACACAGTTCGAGGCCACCAACTGCTCCACAGAAGGCTGGGCAATCTCTTCCCGTGCAATTAACTGCCTCTGAAAATTCGCTGGTTGGATCAGCTATGGGTCAGTTCCAACTAGACAGTATACAACAACAACAATACACTCAGTTAAAAAAATTTTTGCCATTGAGTCAAAATTGTCTCATAACAGACGTGTCTTTGGGTTAGATAGGGTGTAAATCATGTGAGAGGAGATTGTGCATCTTTTTTTCCCATGGAGGTGTGGCCCTTGGCTTAGCAGGGCAACTCCGTCAGAGAACACTGCTAGAGCACATAGAACACACACACACACACACACACACACACACACCCTATGACCACTGAGTCTATTCTGACTTATCTTCAGGTTTCCTAAGTTGTCAATATTTATGGGAGGAGAAAGTCATCCTTCTGCTGAAGAGTGGCTGTTGGATTTGAATCATTGACCTTTCATTTAGCAGCTCAGAGCTTTATACCACCAGGGGTCTCTGTATGAAGAATTGGAAAGCAGTAGAGTGGAGAATGAACCAAGCCGTGACCACACTTCTGGTATTAAAAAGGTTTGAATGTAGCACTTTGTTGAGAGTCTCTAACTATTGGATACTAAGCCATGCAAGTCTCACAATTAAAAAAAAAATCAACTACCTAACACAAGAGAATGGCTGTTAACACTCCCATCCCCTTTTCCAGTAAAGTGGAGCTGCTAACCAGGTCAGTGGTTCGAATCTATTAGATACTCTGAGGTAGAATCTTCTTATAAAGATTTACAGTCTCAGAAACATGGTGGGGATAGCTATCAGTTGGAATCAACTTGATTGCAGTGGAGATTTTACCAATAAAGAAACAGAGAGAATTTCATTAACTTACTCAGTCACTTTCAATTTCTTAAATTCTAGTATGGATAGGAATCAGTGAATCACTGCATGGTGGGTTTGTTCAATGACTGGATACGTAGTAAAGAAGCCTAAACATTGTTCTCAAATTTTTCTGCCTGGTGTTCAGTCAGTTTTTCATTTGCACTGTGCTGTGGGTTAGATTTCCAGCATTACAGGGATCTAGAAAGAGCACGTTGGGGAGCAGATAAAATTATATATATATATATATTTTTTTTTTTAAAAAAAAGACCATACTTTTCCTTTTTATTTTGCTAACACAGAAAAAATTGCAAGACTCAGCAAAGAATAGACGATGGGAAAAGTAGACAAGTCTGGTATCCTAGCCATGTTAAAGGGTCTTATCCCAGTTCATGGGATTTGTGTTCTCTACTCTTCTTGACTTACCTCAGTCTATCCTTTCTGTCCTCATAGCCTTTCTCCTCTGCTCATCCTTCTGTCTATACTTTCCTGTATATTTGGGAAAAATGGCAAGTATATGACTGTTAAGACTCCTGGTCAGTGTCTCTGTGTGTCAGGCTATATGTGTGTGTGTCTGTGTGCTCTCTGTGTGTGTGTCTGTGTCTGTGTGTGTGTGTGTCTAGCTGTGTCCTGTTTCCCTTTCATGCATACACACACACGCAGACAGATTTCTAGAATCCATTTTTTCTGGACTTTGACAACAAGCAAATTTCTGAGATAATACAAATGTGCCCAACACAAGAAGTTTATGGCATAAGAAGTGTCATTTTCAGTCTGTCTTCTCATAACAAACATTGATTGACTATCTGCTTATACCTCAGGCACTCTTCTGGGTGCTAGTAATGAGAGAAAGGCAATCAACAGAAGGAAATAAGTAACAGGGTATTTTCTAAAAATAAATGCTGTAAATTAAAATTAGGTAGAAAAAGAGAAACATATTGCTTCTCTAGATGTTTAGGGAAGAACCCTTCAAATATCCTTTCCTCAGGGAACAACAACTCAGTACAAAGAGAGAGAATGGTTGCACAGCTCAATGAATATCAGCAATGTCACTAAATTGTACACAGAGAAACTATCAAATTCCTGTATATTTTGCTGCGTATGTTCTTAATAGCAATATAAATAAAATTTAGGAAATGAAAGTGGTATGAAGCATGAAAAAGCAGTTCTCTGGAGAAATGGGCAAAGGACTAACTGGTGGGTCTGCCCCAGTCACTTTCCTCACTGATTCTACACACCCTTTCTTACACTCATTTTTCAACCTCTCTCACATTCCTTCCAGTCTTGCTTCTGTCCAAGTCCATAGTACATTTTAAGAATCACTCAGTTTATATACTTTGTTTACAAACCCTTGCAACTCCAAAATGATTCTTTTTCTACTCTGAACTCCACATTAATAATGGGTATGATCCAGGAAGTATTAAAAGAAGATGGAAGGAATATACTGAGTCACTGTATC